TTCAAAACCCTTAAATTTTAAATCAGAATTGCTAACAAAAAATTAAAAATTATTAATCATTTCAATATTATTTAAAACAATAAATGTTTGTTTGATTTTTACAAAAAATAATTTTATTAAATTTTAAAATGATTAATATATTTTTTGAATGAAATACTTTGTGACATTTAAAATATTTTAAAGAAATTGGTTATAAAGAAAAAATAAAATATCGTTGTTTAATCATATTCATTATACCAACATTTATTTAATATTTTTTGAAATTTATTCTCTTTATTTTTAATAAATTTTATTAGATATTAGGCATTCAAAAGTAAGAAATTTAATAATTTTGGAGGAAATATTTAAAATTTTTTGATTTAAAATCATCAGTTCAACTTGAATTTTCTTTAATATATAATAAGAATCTACAAGAATTTTAATAGTCAAAAAAGAGATATCTTGCTCAAAAATCTAGGTTATCGAGATTGAGATTTTTCGAGCCCTAATACAAACAAATATTTCGATTAAGGATATACTCCTTAGAATCCTCTATAGGGATATCCAAGGGATATCCAAGGATAAAATTATTTACTCCAAGGGATATCCAAAGGAATAATTTTTCCCAAAGGGAAATTATATTATATTAAAATTAACTAAAAATTATTTCATTATCATTTCCATTTATTTCTCTACTATTTCTACTTTTTGCCCTTTTTCAAAACTTGAAATCGCTTATTTCAAAAAAGAATCATCATCAATCCCTCACAATTCCTTACCATTTTCCTTCGCCTACTTAATCTCTATTAGTAAATACTTCTTTGCCCTTTATACACAAACTTCAATTAATTTTTCAATCAGCAAAAAAAGAACATTTATTTTATTTTTTTTATTTTTACGAGGTTGCAATCAACTAAATAAAAATAAAAAATAAATATAAATTACTTTTCCAATTTTCTTTTTATTTTTATTTATTTTCCAACTTTAAGAAAATTTCATTTTTAATCCTCTTAAATGTACAAAACAATTATCTAAACACAAAATTATTTAAGTTCAAAAAATAGTTGCGCATACTAAAAAGTTGTTTTGATATTTTTAAGGTATAATATTGAAACTTTTGAGTTAAAAATTAAATAATTTAAATAATTTAAAAATTAGTATAAATAATAGAGATACGCAAAATTACAGTTCTGGGATCCCCTAGCAGAATTGAGTTTTAAAAAACCGAACGGGAGGGAGAGGAGAGGATCCCACCGGATTAATACCTGAATTCAATAAATCCTGTAAATCCGGATTAATCCGTAAAACCCTCCGGGACGAGTAAAATCCCGGAGGTCTTTTGGGAGGGTCTTTTGAATCCTGTAAATCCCATAAATCCCGTGCCTATCTCTAGTAAATACATTATTTGCTCATTAATGCTTTTTTAATTAACCGGCTGGCAGTACCGACGATTTTAAAAAGAAAACCGGGGTGGGCTAATTTTAAATTCCTTTTTTCTCTCAAAGTTGTTAACAAATATTATTAGTTTACACTAAAAATTACTATTTTGATCGCATTTTTAAAAATTTATTTACAAAAATTATGCAAAATTTGTTTTTAGTCAGTTAAAAATATGGAGGAATAAATTATTTGTTTTCACTATAATTTAATTTTAGTCATTTTTTATTCAAAAAAATTTTTTAAAAAATTTCTATTCCTTTAAATTAATTTTTACGTTTCTTTTTTTATTTAAAAAATTTTATGTATTTTTTAATATTTATCAATTTCCAATCGAATATTTTCAAAGAAAAATTAAATGCGCAACAAACTGAGACATTAACAAAATTATTTTAAATGAAATTATTTCCACATTTTTATTATTTTTCTAAGCATTTTAAACTTTAAAAAGATTAATTAAAATTAACCTTTTATTATTTTACTATTTGTAAGGGCAAAACAAGGAACTAACTGACAATAAGCACGGTTTTACCAAAATACAGAGCAACCGAACACGGAATATTTTAAATATCAGAATTTTTATAAATCAGAATTAAAAAAATTAGAATTCCTTAAAAATCGGAATTCTTTAAAAATCAGAATTTTTCACGAACCAGAATATTTTTTAAATCAGAATATTTTAAATCTGATTTTTAAAAATCAGAATTTCTTAAAAAATCAGAATATTTTTACAATTCAGAATTAATTATTTGTCTGGTCGGTGTTTTGGTAGGCCGTGTTATGGAGGTCTTCTTTGTCATACCAAAATTAAGTTGTTTTTTCTACGTTTGAAAACCTTCACTATTTTCTAAATGAAAATATATTTTTTTCATAAAATTTCAATTTAAAATTTAAAAATTTTAAAAAGAATTAAAGGTGAAAAGGATATAAAAATTGAAATTAAAAGAATAAAAGAGAGAAGAGGCAAGTTTTGATTGATTTTGTTTTGTTGAGTTTGGACTTGTTTTTCCCTACGGGGCGCCGTCGTTACGTGCGCATTATGCGTTCAAATAAAGTTTGTCTTGAATAAACAAAAATTACTACGAGTCTTTTTTAATTTAGTTAAATTTATTAAAATATTATTTCAATATTTTATATATTTTGATCAATTTATTAAAGTCAGAATTTATTATAAAATAATTCCTTGGGGCTAAAAAGGGTTCGTTTTAGAGTGTATTGTTTAGGCACCAGAGATAGGATTTGCCGTATTTTAAAATACGAAGGACGGAAGTGGAAGATATGCCATCGCTGTAGGCACACACCTCTTAACACTCTATCAATTCTCAATGACAGGGGTTGAAAAATAGATGGGTTGAAAAATAATTCCATTACCCTAAGTCTCTACTACATACACGTTCAAATTTTAAAACGGATAATTCGTCCTAGAATACTTCCGCATCCCATGAATAGTTAACATATTAATTCTCCAGAATTTTTTTAATTTTAAGAAAAATGAAAATATTTATTATATTATTTTTATTCTTTTTAACAATTCCTTCACAAATATTTGCCTGTTTTTCTTCTGGAAATCCTGCTAAGGGCAACCCGGAAACTGAGAAGCTTACAGAAAAACCAACAAAAACAACTAAAGCAACCACAAATCAGAATAAATTCAATGATAAAAGTGAGAATGAGGTAATTTTGGGTGTAAAATAAATTAAATATAGAATTCGCGGAACAGAAATTAATAAATATATTTTTCCCCTTTTTTAGTAAATTTAAATTCTTTAAATTTAAAATTCAAGGTCATTCCTACAGAAAAAGTTGATCAAAGTTTTGAGGTTGATAAAGACTTTGTTTTGGTAAGAAATTTAAAAAATTGTATTAAAATTGGGGATATTCAATTAAATTTCTAAAGGATTATTTAAAAGAATTTGGACATTTACCAAAAGAAACGGGGGCAAAAGAAGAAAATATAACTGAGGAGCTTGAATATGGAATTAAGTAAAAAATATTTTTAATTTAAAAATATTAAATCCTGAAATACACTTAGGGCACTCATTATTAGCGGTGCTTTCCTGTGTTCCAGGGACAGATTCCTGGAACAGTATTTTCGGAACTACCAAGAATTTAGGGATACTTATAGGGCACTCCTTGGGGCACTCATTAGCCTACTTTTCCTTGTTCAAGAGACCGCTTACTCCTGGAACAGCAATTAAACAACCCCCAAGATCTTCTACCGTGGAATTGTTTTATTATCGGATACTCTCCTCCTTATCGGTCACGGAGAGTAATCCTAAACTTAACGAGAGTTTTTAAAATTTTAATATTAAAGACACTTCCAAGAATTTATGAATATTCCACCTAAAGGCATAATTGATTTGCCTACATTAGCAAGAATGAGTTGGAAACGTTGTGGAAATTTAGATAAACCAATTAATGGTATAAATTATAATTTTTAAATTTAATTAAAAAAATTTTAAGATCCTCATATTTGGGAAAAAACTTCTCTCAATTGGGCAATTAATAATTATCCAAACACAGGATTCCCAATTTCATTGCAACAATTAAGGTAATTATAAAAATTAAAATAGAGTCGGACTTCACTAAAAGATACCCAAAATATTTAAATTTGGTTAAGGGTAGTGGGAGTTAACCCCCTATTTAAGCTACTCTGATTATAAGGTACGTAGTTTACCCCTATTTAAGGTACTCTCATTATAAGGTACGTAGTTTACCCTTTATTTAAGACACCCTATTATAAAATACGTTTTTATCACCCCCAAGAAAGTATCTATCTTAAGGCGGGGTTCGATTTATTTTGAAATTTTTTATTTAAAAAATTTTTTATTTCAAAGAGGCTTGATTAAACAAGCATTCAGTGCCTGGGAAATTGTTATAGCCATAGACTTTATGGAAATTGAACATATTAATGATGCAAATATTCTATTTTCATTTGATGAAGCTAATGAAAATCAATCAAAAACTGGTTTAAAAATTTTTAAATAATTTTTTAAAGATAAATTAAAAGGGCTTGGAATAGCAACTGGAACAGCTGGACCATTAAGCAATATTTGGTTAAGTAAAAATCAAAATTGGTCTATTTTTCAAACACAAGAAGAGGTAAATATTAAATAGCAGATAGTCGTAACTAGATTTTAAATACACTTTTGGGGCTGAAAAAAGTATACGCAATATAGAGGTGCATCTATTATTCGGTGTATCATTCATTCCCTTTAATTTGAGGTACATATAGCTAGCAGGGTGTGCGTTTTTGCCTTAATCTTTCGCCGAATTTTTGCCTGTTTGATGTTTCTTCCTTTCGCCTTTTTAAAATCCGTTTCGGAATATCCCTAATGCCGTGTATGGGGTGTATTTAAAATTGAGGACCGCCTGTGATATGTAAAATAAATTTAACCCTTTTAAGGGAAATGTTGACATTTTTCTGGTAAATTTTCTAGTAAAATATCCCTAATTTATTATAAATTTATTTTAGACTTTAATACACGAAATTGGACATTCTTTGGGTCTTGAACATATTGGGTAATTACTCCAACAAAATTTAATTTTTAATTTGATAAATTTAAAGAGATCCAAATTCTGTAATGTTTCCAATGCTCGAAAGAAGTCCAGGGGAGCAATTACCAGTTATTTCAAGTGATGACGTCACTAGATTAAGGGCCCTTTATGGTAACTAGTTGAAGAGTTTGAATTAAATCCAAATTAAAATTAGAAACTTTTCTCCCTGCAGAATTGGATAAAACATCCCAAAAATATAATTCAATGGCAACACCCAGAAGTGTATGTTTAAATTTAAATATTTTGTGTGTAAATTTATATTTCTGTTCCGCGAGTGTTTTTTAAAATTTAAATAAATTTTGAAAATTTATTTAAAGTTGCCTTCTCGTCCAGCTGGTAAGGATATGGCAGAAGTATGTCCACACACAATTACTGCTGCTACTAATGGTGACAAAATAGATAATATTAAATAGATAATGACGTCAAACCTCCTTTTTGGATACACCCTTCAATAGATACACCTTAATTTAAGCGATACAATCTATTTAAGATACAACTCATCAGACCTTCTATTCAACAAACACCCCATTATAAGAGAAAAATTTTACCTCCTAGGGATGTCTAAAAACAAGCCTTGACTGTATTCATATTTTTAAGTTTTACCTGGAATGGTTGTTGCTTTCAATGGACAATATACTTGGACAATCAAGAAGGGTAATATCACGAGTGGACCAACCTTGATAAAAGACGTAATTAAAGATTATTTAATTAAAGAAATTTTTGTTTAAAGAGATTCCCAGATGCCCCAGAGTTTATTAATGCTAGTTTCAGCACAAGTACAATAACAATATTAATTCAAGGCCATACATTGTTTGGCTATAATTATGATGAAATACATGACAAATTTACGTAATTAAAATTTTTTTTTCTAAATTTAAATTTTAAAGACGTGCCAAAACCTATCCAAAAATGTTACATAATCGAATCCTTTTTTATCCGACTGGTGCTTTTCCTCTTTTAAATGAAAGCATTATTTTAATTAATGGTAAAGTATATGCTACCTATAATGTTATTAAGAATGAACCACATATGGTTAGTTTAATTCAAAAATTATTTAAATTATAATTTTATATACCTTTGGACCTAGCTATGAAATATACACTATAGTTGATTAAAATTTGGATGTTTACTGGGTTATTTACTGAGTTGTGTACCCTCTATTTAAGAGGGGTACCCCTTGCCTTTATTGAGGGGTATCCCTCTGAATCCTTAATCCTTATATTAAAACGGGTAACTATCAAGCTCTATCGAGGGTTACTCCTCAATCTTTATATTAACTTATATTCACGATACACCTCGTTATAAGATACAAAGTTTCAGTTTCAATGGTGTAACGTATAAGTGATATCTGACACTAATACATAAAACCATTATTTTTAAGCTTGGAAATTTGGAAGAACTTTATCCAAATTTACCCGATGGACTTTTATCTGGTATCCCAGCAACACCAGATTTCTCTCTATATTATATGCTAACTGCAAATTTATGTAAATCTTATATTTTAAATTTAAATTTAAAATTTAAAGCCTTTGTTTACAACACACAAACATTCCGATTAGTAAGTACCCAAACAATTGGTCAATTTATTGAATGTGAAAAAACGGGTGTTAATTTGCTTTTACAACAATTTAATTCGTTTAATGCTCCAATACCAACTCAATTTGTAAAATTTTAATTTTTATATTAAAATTTATTTTTCATAATTTGAAGAGAAATGAATTTCCTCAGCATCATAATAGTCCACGGTTGACGTAAAAATTTTTTTAATTTTTTATCCTAAAGCAGTTGAACCTCACTTTTAGTTAGTCCAATACTCTTCGAATTAAAATAAATTTTTAAAAATTTGGTTGGCCTAAGGGGCTCCTAGCATTTTCCCCTATTTAAGACATGTTTTTAAATTAAGGTTAGCCGCTGTGTAAGCTTTAAGGTCGAGCTGTTTAAAAGATATCCTCTATTAAGGTACAGGCTAGCCGATGGGCAAACGGAGCTGTCTACTCCCGCTTATCTCTCTCCGCTTATCTCTCTCACAGAAATATTTCACTCTCTATTTAAGATAATCCTCATTATAAGAGACCATTTTTCGGCAAAGGGTTCGTCTAAAAATGAGGTTTTCTGTAAATACCTTTCATAAATTCCCATAACCTTTCTTTAATTAATTTATAGAATTAATAATAATTTGCCACTCGGTATGCGCTTTGTTTAAATGTGAATTAATAATGGGAGTGAAATTTATAAATAAATTGTTTTAATTTTATTTTAATAAATTTTTACTTTGTACGTAAATATTTTACAAAAATTAATTATCATTTATTTGATTATATAAAAGCAATTTTAATTACATGAGTGGTTTAAATGAATAAAACATTTAAAGAAAAATTATGATTTTTAGAATTATATATTACATAGAGATCGGACTGAGAGGAGTCTTGATTTTCAAGATTAAAAGTTTTCGAGATATTCATATCTTCGGTGCCAGAAAATCGAAAAGATGTTGGATTAAGAGGGATTCAGTGGATTAAGTGGACTTCAGGGGATTAAGAATATATCGGGGAATTAAGAAATTTGATGGTTAAAGGGATATTAAGGATATTTATAGAATAAAAGGATATCGTGGGATTAAGGGGATACGTCTCTGAAACAAAAATCTTTTGCTCATCTATGCTTCTTTGGCATCTTCTTTATTTATGTACACAACAGAGGTAGTTGTTGTGTCTTTAAAGAACTGATTATATAACCAATTAAATTCATCCTTTAATGCCAAATTGTGTGCAGAACTTAATTAGATACATAAAAAATATTTTTAAAGTTTTTAATTTCTCTACCTTACAGCAAATAAAACTGGAACTTCTACAGTTGAACTTAGTGAGGATGTGCAATTTACAATTATATTTAAAATATTTGTTGGAATAGTAGACAAGGACATTAATTTTACAATTTTATAGCCAGATAGGCTAAAGAAATAACCAAAAATTTGGATTGACATAATAATTGCAAGAGTTTTGTAAAGAGATTTGCGCATATTGCAAACTGAAAAATTAACAGTCGAAAAATTATTTCTGAATAGTCGGACCTCACGATAACAAGACCTTTAATCTTAGTGGATGGGGGGGGGGGGGAGCTGATTACCTGGATGAGAGCTGATTAAGTGATAATTAGGGTTGGGGGCCCAGTCTGGTCCGAAAGATCGAGTCGGGCATCGAATTTTGGCCCGAAAATTTTGGCCCCCCACTCGAAAACCCCAACCCTAGTGATAACACCTTACACCTCCTCTGACCCCAACAAGTTATCAATAATAGAGAGTTAACTGTATTTTATTTAATAATGAATTACTTTTTCCTTTCCATTGATCATAAAATAATTTAAAAAACATTAAAATATAACAAAGCGGGGTTAAGCAAATTAGTACAAGTTGTATACTCAATAAAATATCCTCCCCATCAGAACCAACCAAATCCGAGAAATTGCATTGGACATTTCTGTTAAATTAAGAATGTGATCATCTAAATAGGTATATAAGAAAGACTTACAAGAAAGGATCTTGTATAGCAGTGTAGATAACAAATCCCAAAAAGAGTAGAGGAAACGATAATGATACAATAAACATTATTTTTAGATAACGTTTCTTATTTCTTGAATAATACCTTAAAATTATTAAACAAGCTAAATTAAGGTGCCTATTTAAATTAACCAAATAGGCAGGAAGATAGCCAACATTCTGTCAATACCAATTATAAGCATTAAAGAAAATACATTTAAACAGCCACCAATAGGTAATATCTGGGTTAAAGCGCAATATAAAAGAGGTATTTTTCCAGATCCAGGAAGCATAAATAAAGTAAAAGGAAGCAATATTTGGATTTTTGATAGGAGAGAACAGACGGCATAGATACCCAATAATAAATGGCACGTACCATGCAAACGTCTTAAAATTTAGGAGGGTGGATTAGAGATTTGAGAAAGTTTCATACTTTTGTTTAATAGTAACAATTATTAAAAGCGTGTAAAAAGCAGTTCCAATTTGATCAACAAAAATGTTCGTCCCGAACATAATTTTTCCTATACTAGTTTCTCTGAATTCAGTCATAATTGGTATTTATTTCACTAAAATTTGAAATTTAATTTTGGCTATGTTTTTGTGCAAAGTGTTCTGTAAAAATTCATCAAATTTTCTAAAAGTTATTAGAGTAAAGAAGACAAAAACAGGAATTTTCTGAATATTCCAATTAAGTTTGATCGCGGTAAACATTTAAATTTAATTATAGGAATATGAAAACATACAAAATTAATTATAAACTATCATTAATCTTAAATGTGCAAAAGCTATTTTAAATGCTCCTTCAATTACATACTAAATTATGAGCTACATTCTGTTCCAAATTTATAACAAATTTATATAAATTTATATAAAATTTGCAAATGTATACCTCTAAATTTCTCAGTATTTTATTCTTCCTTCAATTTTTCTACAAATTTTCTAATAATGATTAAGTACCTAAGGATATATCTCATTTAATATTAGAACGGATTTTTTAAATATACAGCTGCCGGAGCTCTAAACTTTCCTGCTCATTGTCAGGCTAACAAATAAGTAAATGTTTCAATTCTTTGAAAAATTGTTTGTTTAAATATTTAATGTAAAAAATTTATTATTATTTTATGGTTCATGTGAATTTTTACAAAAATTTTTATTAAAAAAATTTTTTTCCCCAAAATTCTATTAAAAAAAGTGAATAACAAAAATTTATTTTCTCAACAAATTAATTAAACTTGATAAAACACCCACTCAATTTTTTAATATTGAAAACTTAAGTTTTAAAAAGTACAAAAAGTTTAAGGAGTAAAACTTTATAAAAATTGTATTTTTAAATGAGAAAAAAAGTTTTTGGTTCATAATGTTGCTTAGATATTAAATTTTTCTTAAAATTTGTTTCAAAAAATGAAACAAATTTGATTGTTTCGGATTGGCTTGTTTAAATTTTTCTTTGAATATTTCTTTTATTAAGTTCATTATCCTTGTTTATGAATTCAACAGCAGTTGTGGTTGTTGTACTTTTAGTAAAAAGTTTAGATAACCATTTGAATTCGTCTTTCAATGCCAAGCGATGTTCAGTACTTAATAAACATAGATTAAGTTGATAAGATGATATAAGATGAACCCCTAGGGGACTGAAGTTTGTATCTTATAATAAAGTGTGGCTTAAATAGAGGTGAGTCGCTTCGGCAGCTCCCAACTCCATGGTCCCAATGTTAGTAAAGAGGGGTATCTAACAGAGGTGTGCCTTTTGCCTTTTTGTCTACTTCGGACACTCCTGTATCTATGGGTGAGATACTAAATTAGAAACCAGTGGGTTTACCTTGCTGCAAACAAAACTGGAACTTCCATAGAAGCAATTAAGGATAAAAGACAATTCAAAACACAAAGAATTAATTGTTTTTGCATGAATGTTAAAATTGAAGAATATGCGTCAACTACTTGATAAGCAATTAAAGCAAAAAAATATCCAAAAATTTGAATAGACATGATTAAAGCAAGTGTTTTGTAGAGAGCTTTGCGTATATTACAAACTGTAATATAGGAAAAAATAGATTTTTGATTAAATTATATGAAATAAGGTTGATGGATCTGTATATCCGGATCCGAAAAAAGATCCCCATGATCCGCTAACTTAGACTAAGAATTGTAGCTCAGCATGGGGTGAATCAAATAAAGGGGATCTCTTTCCATGCTCATGGAGCCGATTTAATTAGAAAAATATTCTGGGTCTCTTATAATGAGATCCGGCTGTACATTATTAGGAAATATTTAATTACTTTTCCCTTTCAGCTGGTCATATAACAATTTAAAAAACATTAAAATATAGCAAAGCAAGGTCAAGCAAATTAATACAAGTTGGCCCGTCTGTAAAAAGCTCTGGCCATCAATACCAACCAAATCCGCAAAAAAGCATTGAATTTGCCTATTAAACAATGAATAATTTAAGGAAATAATTAAAAATAAATTACAAGAAAGGGTCTTGTATAATAGAGCGGCAGACAAATCCCAAAAAGATCAGAGGGAATGATAATGAAACAAGATAAATTATTTTTAGGTAATGCTTCTCACTTCGAGTTGAATACCTTAAAACAAAAAATTAATTAAGGTTGCCTAATTAATTAACCAAATAGGCAAGAAAATAGCCAACATTCTATCAATTCCAATTATAAGCATTAATGAACATGTATTCATACAGCCCCCGACTGGTATTATCTGTATTAAAGCGCAATATAAGCGAGGTATTTTTCCATATCCAGGAAGCATGAATAAAGTAAATGGAAGCAATATTTGGATTTTTGATAAAAGAGAACAGACGGCATAGATACCCAATAATAAATGGCAAGTACCATGCAAACGCCTTAAAATTTGTGAAAGTGGCTCAGAAACAATCTAAGTTTCCTACTTTTGTTTGACCGTAAGAAATATCAGAACTCCAAAAAGAACTGTCCCAATCTGATCAACACCAGTATTAATAGCAAAAACTGTTTTTGCTACAGTAGCTTCGCTGTCGTCAGTCATTTTATTTTTAAGTAATAAATTTTTCTTTTAATTTTGCTTTAAATTTATTTTAAATAGAGCCAAGTGCATCTGGCATTTTATTAAAGTATAAATATTGTTTAATTTTTAAAAGGAAGTCTGTG